TATCAATTACATCTTACATCATCAATTTTTATATCATATGTATATAAGTTCTTGCTCAATGAATATAGTAAACATACCATACAATCAATACTGTGTCATGGACAACGAGCCCGTCTAATAGGAATAAGAGCTTTGCATCAAAAATTGTACACAAAAAGCGCCTCCAAAATTTAGTTTGAATATTTATAATGTTCCRTAATATTTATTTATTATTAATTAATTAATTTATATTTGATTTAAAATCACAATAAATTGATTTAATTGTTATTAAGTTAAATGGATATTTTTCAATATTTATGGTTATAACTTGGTATAAAATCATTCAATTTCAAAAATTTATTTAATATATTATTCATTTTTTGTTTAGGGATGTATTCCATACGAAATTGCTCCATGTGAACATCATGTGAATGGTACTCGAGGACCATGTAAAGAAGGAGGTAAAACTCCTACTTGTGTTAAAAAATGTGAAGATGGATACAAGATACCATATGCACAAGATTTGCACCGTGGTAAGTAATCCAAATCCAATCTAATAAAAAATGCTAATATTTGTTTAAAGTATATTTTTGTTAATTGACAATTACAATATCTTTTGGATATCAGGTAAATCGGCATACTCGCTTAGAAATGATGTTGACCAAATCCGACAAGAAATTTATACTAATGGTCCAGTTGAAGGGGCATTTACTGTATATGAAGATTTTATTAGTTACAGAACAGGTTAGTATTTATTTTTAATCATCAATAATTTAAGTTTTAACTAATTGCTACTTTTTCTTTCATTTGTAGGAGTATATAAACATGTTGCTGGTAAAGCTCTTGGRGGCCATGCAATTAGAATCCTTGGGTGGGGTGTTCAGGATGGTAAAATACCATACTGGTTGGTAGCTAATTCTTGGAACAGTGATTGGGGCAGCGATGGCTTTTTCAAAATATTGAGAGGAAGTGATGAGTGTGGCATTGAAGGACAAATTAATGCTGGTTTACCAGCTTAATTTGCACTTGTTTCAGATTCAACACTTATAAATCCCAACTTTAATATTTAATTAAAAATTTACTACAAGTAAAAACAAATTATGATTATTATATCTGTTACAGTAAAATTTTAGCTCTCAATTTTAGTTATACAACTATTTCGCTGTGGAATTTTTATGATTAAAACAAATTATGATTATTATTTCTTTTATATACTTAGAGCTTATAAACTATTATTAACTAAGTTAATTTTGAATAAATACAATAAATTATAAAACAAATAAGAGTATATTTTCATTTATTTTTATATACCTATAGGCTATAACTGATTTTTATTTTTAATGTACTAATGATGTTTTGAATTTTCCGAATTTAATCATTTAATTAATATCAATAATATTTAATCACAAGAATTTAAATTATTTTGTTGCTTTTTAGTATTTATATTTTTTATAGCAAAACTATCAGGTACTCAGACATGCAGACAAAACAATCATTATTTTAAAAAGGCTGGTTCAATGAATAAAATCCATATTTACTTACTATAAGAAAGACATGATAAATATTTAATATTCTACAAATAAAATAGTAAAACTTAAATATTGTGTATTTGTAACAAAGAAGTAATAATTTAACAGAATATTTATTTTTGTAAGCTTATTGAAAAGTAAAATTGCATTTTTAATATTTAACTAAATAAAATCCTAATTACACAGGTAGATGAACACTAATTTGATTTTGAATATTAGTTTTAATTTCTTTTACAATATGTTTGTTCTGACGATCTTTAATTGATAATTCTTCGAGTAAACAAAGTTGTTTCTAAAAATAAGATGAATAAACTATTATATTGATTCTTATAAATAATAAACAGAAATATTTACTTGTATGTCAGCAAGAACTGACAATTTTATAATTGCTGGTTGGTCATTTGAAAGTTCACTAAAAATTCCATTACGAACTGCAATCAAAGCATCTTGATCTAGACACTCCAGGATTATTGTTTTTGTAATTTTGTCATCCAAAACCATTGAGATTATTTTACCAAAATAATTCAAATATAATGTTTTTGGTATATTATCTAGAGTAAAAAATTATTATTCAAAATTATTTAAAGCTTGACAATTTACATTTTACAATAAAACAGTATTTGGAAAGAACGTTGTTTATGTGCTTATGTTCATATTTTTTAAATTGTTATTGTACTGTACTTTTAAAATCTATAGTTCTGACTTAATTACCATATTATTATCTGATATACATAAATGTCAAAAAATTGTAATTTTAAATACCTAAGCTTATATTATAATACATGCCAGGGAAACTTCACAAAAATAAAAATGTTTATTTTTAATGAATGATGCGTGAACATCACTATATTCTGTCCAGTGAGTCTACACATCCTTTCATGTCACCCTGTTTTCGAAACAGGTTCCACTATGGTTGAGTGTCACATAAGGATGCGTAGAAAAACCAAAATTTAGTTGGCATGCGGCGCATTATCTCTGGTCAGAGTATAGTTACTTTTTCAAATAGAATGTGAACATAAATTATGTTAATATTTTTAATAAATATAAAATAGATAAAATTCCAGTGGGCATGGCTCGACATAAAATAATCTTAATCATGTGTAAAATGACTATATTTATGCTAATATATACTTTATTTTAACTATGATAACTAAACAATATTTACATTTTTTTTTTTAAAGTTTCATTAATATCATTATTTTAAATTCAGACAGTAACGATGAATGTATAGATTCACTTATTTTTAAGTAATTATAAGCAGATTATTTGTATGTGTTATTCATAGATCTATTAATATTAATAATATGTCTATGCGTTTGTTAGAGATAATTAACATCAAAATTAATTTTTTTTTTTATAATCTAAAAATCTTTATTTTAATAATAAGTATTGATAATGAGCACATAAAACTTCTCTCAATATTTAAGTTTTGAAATAAAATAGTTGACTCAAATTGTATAATTATTAATACTATATTTAACATGTCACACTAAAATCAAAAATCATAAGGTTTAGAGCATAGGGATAAATATATTTTAACGCAAAGGAAACCACTAATTTATTTGACTTATTTATTAAACCACTTACCAATAATATTTTTATAAAATGATTTTGATATTCTATGTTTATTTCTGTTTGTAATAACAGTTAAGTAATCTACTAAAGATATGTTTTCTGGAAATTTAAAAACACTCTTATGTCTATCTTCTAAAGGATTTATCACCAATATTTTTTCTCGTTTTTCAGCTTTGACAAAATATAACGAATTCAATTTGATTGGATTCAACGGAATAATCAAACACTGATTAATTAAATCATTTTGTACTTGACACACCAATTCACAGTGTACTAGACCAGATGTACAATTTTCAGCAATTATAGCTAATAACCGGTGTTTCACCATTAATGGATGATTTTTGTTAAATGCATCAACGTCAAAAGAATGTAGGCCACAATTTGAAGACAAATTGTTATTGTCGGTAATACGAACCAAAAKTTGCCAAATTGAAGACGGAAATGATAACCATTCACAGTCTATGGAAAGTTTGATTGCAAAAATATATTCATCTTGGCAACCTCCTAACTTCACAGCTTTAGAACCTACATTTAAACATTTTTTATAATTTGTTGAAACCTCGTATAAAATTGAATTAACAATACAACCTGAATAGATTAAAATGTTTAATGAACAAAATTGAGCAACAAGATCTTTGCGAGCAACAATAGACACTGCATTTATGTATTTATTCATATTTTCATGTTGCTCTTCTAAGGACTCTATATTTTTACAAAGAGTTTTGATATTTTCTAAAATTGATTTTTCATTAAATTTAAACTTTAGTTCTTCTTCCTGGGTGATAGCTTCCAGTTTAGAAGATAGTTTATACACTTTATTTAATCGAGTCATTGCAATAATTAAATTGGAGTGAAATTTGCATAATGATATAACTCCTAAAATATAAAAATATGAACATTAAAAATATATTACAAATACAGCTTTTTAAAATTAAAATAGGTACCTTTCAACTTAGTTACAACTTGTTTGGCTATTTTAGAAAATTGTTTATCCATTGTAATTTGAAATAAATTGACACTATCACTTAAGATCACAGTATGGCCAATAATAAATGTAGCAATCGTTTTTGTAACAGCCAGGTAAATGAATGATGGATGAATATTTTCTACACAGTGTATGATTATAAGTATTCCATTAGATGACACTAACAGCAATTTTTTAGGTTCTATAAATTAAMAAAATTATGTAATAATATAAAAGATAAATAAAGGCAATATCAAAATTATTACCAAAATCACAAAATTGAATATGCACAATTTTTTGTGGACTATTTAAAAACAATGATACATTTTTACTGGTCACATTTGATGTTGTACAGTATACTTTTGACTCTTCTGTTGCTATTATAAAGATATCAGGACTGTCAATTACATTTGATCCGAAGAGTTCTATAGCCCGTTGGCTACTGAACCAATTCCTCCAAGTACAAGATATAAAAGAAGTAACTACAAATGGAAACTAATTGTACATGAAATTATTATTATTGTATTTAAATATTTTTTCTATTTTATTACCAATTTCTGTGATCTAATTTGTTTGTTACAGGTATTCAATATAATTGGTTCATTATTATCATTTATAGTAATTTTTAACATCTGTATTATTATCCATTCTTCAAGTGCTATGATTACAGCAATTCCATCTGAATAACAAGTCGCTCCAAATATTTCACATGGACATTTTTGAGAATAGCAGGGTTTCCACTCATAATTACAGGACATTGGCTGTTGAGTAACTTGAGCAGACAAGGAACAATCAAATAAGTCTGGAGAATCTCTAAAACATTAAAATAAAATAAATTAATGTTAAAGAATTTACAGTGAATACTAAATATATTACCGTTGCGCTTGTTTTAGATAATATATAGATCCRATTTTATCAATACAATACATTTCTGAGTTAAAAGTTAGTATTGATATTATTGGATTACTTATTGGCACAATCTAGTAAAAATCAAAATATATGTTATATTATTTTTATTTTTTTTATTGAAATATCAGACCATGTAATGATCATTTTTACACATCACAGTTATGTTTGGTTTTTATTACAAATAATATAATTATGTCAATATCAAATATAGGTATACATGTATAAAAGTGTGAAAAAATTCCAGGGGGAACTAATATCTCAATATATTTTAATTATTCCAATGTTCCATATATCATTTTATGTAGAATATCTAATGAATAGAGAATAARATGAAATGTATAAACAGAGAGAAAGAGAATATTTTTTTTCATAACATTAAGTTGTTAGTAGTGGTTATCTTTAATGAAAACTAAAGAAATCACCCAGACAAAAAAATAGTCATATCATAAAAATATAGAATATTGAGCTTGAAAGTCTACATATGGTGGGGCCAGCATGCTTAAAAAATGACACATTTACATTTAACTTATATACAGAGTGATTCATCAAGCATGTCTACYACTTTTTTTCTTTAATAATGAAGTTATTCAAAATCTGAGTTTTGGAATCTTTGAATTTACTCAAAGATTGAATTTTCAAATTCTTGAGATTTTTGTACTACTTTAAGAGTGTCTTGTGGCGATACAAACTTTAGTTCTTAAAATAAACCTCTACCTTTAATACTTTAAATTATTTAGCAGATAATTTATTTGAGAATTTCGATGTATTGAAATCAAAATTCAATGAGTAGTTTTTGAGTTATTTAACTTTGTATTCTAAGGATAAAAAGTCTATGATTTAGGTTTATATGTGGTCTATGGTAGATTTGAAAATATTAGTCATTAATATTAATCTATCAACATAAATAATTTGCAAAACAACCTAAATATTATAAATTCTAGTTTCAAGAGTACATGTATTTTATACTTTTGAAATGATTTTTAAGGACTATTATTCTTAGTACAAACATTTTAATAACTTAGAAACTACTCATTTGAATTTTGATTTTGATACATTAAACTTCTCAAAAGAATTGTCCGCAAAATAATTTATAGTAAAAAAGGGGGGTTTTGTATGAAAAATAAAATTTTTTATCACCACAGAACACTCCTTAAGAGGWACACAAATCTCAAGAATTTTAAAATATGGTTTTTGAGTAAATTTAAAGATTCCGAAAATCAGATTTTGAATAACTTCATTATTAAAGAAAAAAAGAACGGTGATCCTGCTTGGTGAATCACTCTATATATGCATATGAATTACGAAATTTAATTTTACATTATTTAATAAAGAGCTATTTTAAAATATAACAACTTAAAAATGAACACAAATTATATTTTCTTTAGTAAATGTTTTTTCTAATACAAAATAACATGAATTTAAATAAAAATAAAAATGTAACATACATAAAAATGAATAAAATTATGTTAGAGATGTTTGATTATAATTGGAGTGTTCTGGCGTACCTTACAAATAATTTTCTAAAGGGGACACTTTATAACAGACAATAGAAGTAGAGGGACTCAGTATCTCTGCATCCCCACAATTTAATCCCTGACTATTTTGATTATAAATCAATCAAAATCCCTTTAATAGTTTAATATTACACTTTATGACAACTAGGTTCTTATTGCCTAGGTATATAAATATAAAACCTATTTTAGGTTCTTAACATTTTAATGAGACAAAATGTATTTTATAATAATTAACAACTTACCACTGGTTCAATTAGATTCCAAATACTAGCTTCAGATAAACTATCTAATGGGTATAAAACCGCGACACAATCGTCCCATGAAACAAACAATTCATTTTTACTATCCTTATGAAAGTGTGTATGTTTTGAATTAGTGTGTAAATACTCAGATTTTAGTTGAAGTTGTTCAAAATTCAAGGAGAGTTCCATTATGTATTTATATTTACTGAACTATGACATAACTTTATAAAACATTAAATTGGAAACTAAAATTACTTCAAAACTAGTTCAAAAAAATATTTAAGCTCAATAATATTCTTATTATTCATTGTCGAAGTGTAAATTATCAATTTATTTATTATTAATCAAAATGTTAACGATTTTAATAAATTTAGACTTTTGAATAATTATGTATAAAAAGTTTAAATTTAAAACTTCAAGTCTCTTTGTCTCTCAAAGAGAATATTGAAACTGAATATTCAGAATATTTATATATATTTATATTATCTAATAATCGCAAGTATTCTCGTCAGTTTGAAATGATTATTAGTCCGCGATTTGATATTTGAATAAAATATGTTGTTATTATTATTAAAATGATAACGTATTTCACGCTCCCCCCTCTGGCCCCTGAAGTGTTCAAGSCCACGGTTGGTTGTTACTTGTTAATACAATACAATATCAGTATTCAGTATCCCTGATATCACAACAATTTATTTTTACCGTGGTTTTGTCTGTGCTTGTAGGTTCATGTWGTCTAATGTCTTGAAAACTTTAACTTTTAAATTTTAAATGCTTAATAGCTTTTGTGGTTATAATTTATATTCTAATAATTCAATCATTCATCACTGAGATTTCAGATATTTATTTTGAACATTGATTATTGTTTATACTTCAAGTCGTGCAGACCACGCAATTAGTTTGGTTACAATCGCACTAATCACAGAACAATATTACTGTAAGTTTGTAAGAAGCAATAGGTATGGCGTTTGTTCGGGTTAAAAGGCGTCACAACGAAGATCCGTTTGATTCAATTGTAGTATCACATAAGAAACTGAAAACTATTGGTACTGAGTTGAATAGAGATTGTGTGTTTCAATTTGCTGCCACTTTAAAAGATGAAGTGAGTTTTTTATGATCTACTATAATTGTCAGATAGTTATAAGATTCAAACCTATCTAATAATATTAATTTAGCAGCTTAATATTTTTTCTATAATTATATTCAATTCAAATTYATTTTTAGTATGAAAACTTATCTCAAATATTGAAAGAAGTTCGAGAAGAAAGATCTGTAAAAGCGTTAACAAAGATGAACAAAAACAAAAATTGTAATGATGTGGTTGAACATTCAAAAGCAGAACGTTTGAAGGTTTGTTRTAAATTATAATTATTATTTATTACTTCTTAAGTTATAAAGTTGGCAATTTATTCAGTAAAAACAATTATAAATAAAAATACCTAAATAAATATAATTGCATTCGCTGTGTTCAATTCTTCGATTGCATTCAAGATGGGTAAACATAAGACTGGTGCTGTTTTGCTATATGCACTATRATAGCCGGTTTTCGAATATAAATAATACCATGCAATCTACTAATTTTGCTTTACTACTAATTATGTTTCTAAATAAACAGCTATATGGCTTATCTCTATATTTTAAAGGTTGGTATCTACTTTTGAAAGCACGTTGACAATAATTATTAATTATTTCATGRTCAATAATATTAAGTATTTTAAATAAATTTGTTTAGCTAGTTAATACTCTCAGAGCTGTTAAACAAGACACAGTACCAATTGAAGATATGGATGGAAAAAATGCTGAAATTAAAGTCGTTGATTTTGTTAAGCAAGTAGATGATAATGGCAAGCCCTTAATAGATGAAGGAATTTCAGTTGACTATGTATATGACTTGTATTATGCATTCAATAATGATGATAAATCAATTGATATACAAGATATTGATAGGTAYCATTATAAATTGCTTGTCATTCTTCATTTTACCCCCTTTAGGATAATTTAAAATTGTATATTTTATTTTCAGTGTACATGGATTAGATTCAGAAAWTTTTTATAATATTTGTAAAAATAATGAAAGCTCTGATAATGATTCCTCACATTGTGAAGATGATGATGATTCCAATGATGAAGGGAATTGGAGAAATGATTATCCTGACGAGGATGAAATGGATAATGAGTAATTTTATGTATAAAATACATAATAGTTAGAATTAATATATTAGACAGTAAAGAACATTAGCAGTTAAACATTTTACTACCTGAATTTATATTATAAAAATAGCATTTAGATATTCTAAAAGTAATTAAACAACTGTTATTTAAATATATTCAAACAAATAATTGGCTCAATTTTAGATTCAGAGCAAAATTATGAATTTATTAGATTTATAAGTACGATGTGCTGATTTTTCAAAAAGTAATTTTTTATACTAAAAAAATGTTGAAGTATTCAATAAGGAAGGTGGTTTCTATGGAAAACGGGGGTCAAAAGTAATAATTTCTGAGTAATTTTCAAAATAATTTAGGGGAAAAAAAATACAATATAAAAGTAAATGAAGCATATCAGTTATGTCAAAATGGATTTTGTCTTTATGTTGTATTAAATAAGCATAGGTACTTGACATTTTCATCAATAATTAAGATTAAAATTTTCTAGACATGATATAGTTTGATATTTTGCCTCTTTTTGCCTGTTTTTGAGCTATTTATTTAAAGATGTTTGAAATAGTGATATGTTTATGTTGATGAAATTTGTTTTTAGAGTTTAGAATATTTAAAAAAAAAAATAATAGATGGTTCTGATAAGTTAGTTTTCCAGCAAATAAAAATATTGAAAATAAATAGTAACAATTTTATTTATAAATATTAGAAGTTCAGATTTTGACAAGTTTAATTATTTTGTTATAATTCAAAAAATATATTTTACAGTAGGAGGAAATTTGAAACTTCGTGTCATTTTTTGTTACTTGTAATTTTTATACCGTATACACCATGAAGTTTTCAAAATAATATTTAGAATAATTTATTTTACACAGATCAATGGTGCATGTATATTATAAGTTAACAATAATATTACACGATCTGATAAAATTATTATTTAATAATATATGTGATTCTCTTGACAAAAATAATTGTTATACACAATTTCATTGATAGAAATAGAAATAATTCATAAAATATCCTTACTCCTTACAGCAATCTACTCAAAGAGGTACACTCATACCGCTGAGCTTCTTCACCAATTTTTTTGTATCCATTTGAAAATTAATAATGTTTGTTTTAAATTATTTATCTGTTCTTACTCTGTTAAGTTTAAGAAAGGTCAAGCTGACGGACTAAAATGTGTTGAAACTGTGCATCTATTCCTACTACTAGTGCCTAGCTAACAAACTGTCCATTCTTTGCTTGAAATGATCGACATATGATTATTGCTTAATTCAGCATTAGGTAGGTTGAGAGTCTTGAGACAACATAAAAGCTTATTTGGTATGTGCAAAATTGAGTATTCTTAAATTGAACAGAGTATAATTATGAAGGTTCATATATACTCATCYAACATGTTAGTWCACCTCCTCATTTTAATTGTCTGTTGTAGTCTAGTTCATAATTATGTTTTTATTTAATGGAAGTAGAATTAATTAAATTGACTCAACTTCTAATCTGTCTATGAACCAAGGTATGTTGTTGGTATAGAATGAAAATTTATTCAATTTAGCGAGTTATAAAATACTAGTTTAATTTTTATAGTTATAAATTGTACTAGTACGTTTACATTAGTCCAGAATATAAATTGTCTCAGAGATAATTTGATAATTCCGTGTCACCATAATATAATAATTATTAATATATTTTTTTTGTGTATATTTCAGTGAAGATGATTATTGTCAAAATCTGATTTTGAAATCAAAACAATGGAATATAAATGGTGAGTACATTAATTATTATTCATCATGTTTATTGAATTTTATAAAACTTATTAAATAGTTTGTTTATGTTAAAGAACAGTTTTAATGTGGGTTATAATAAGAATGCAATATATCATATATGTCAAATTGTAATTATATTTTGTAATAATATATTTGTTTTAGATGATAGCAGTTCTGATGCAGAAGAAAATATTGAAGATTATGATTTACGTTTTGCAAGATATAAAGAACGCGTGAAAGCGGAAGAACATTTTTTTTATAACAGTGTTGATGAAAGTTCTGGAAGTACAAATGATTCAGATGATTAAATTCTGTAAGATAAATATTTATGATCATGGGCCAGCTGTATTCACAAGATTATATATATTATTAATTTTAATTGCAGTATAATTTATATTTTCATAAGCTATTAAAAAAAATTTTTTTTAACCACTGTTTTAAATTTTGATATAATAGTAGTTATTAATTTTCCTGAATTATGTGTAATATTCAAAATAAACAAATACAATCAGGAGCTATGCCTATTAAATTAGTTTTTAACTTAATGTAATCCATCGTATCAATTATTTATCAAGTTGATTCAAATTGAGGATTTTAGATTACGTACCTAGTAATTTATGATACAATAGTGTTATTTTCTGACATATTATTAAGACTTCAACTTCTTAATCTTCAATTTTAAATTTAAACTTCTTCAGTTATTAGTTAGCCATATTTATTAATTTATTATTTATATTAAATAGAAAATCACAATTCATATAAGATATTTCATGAAAATGTCCAAGATTTAATATCATGAATATCTTTTATTAAAATTATATGACTTTTCTTCATACAAGGTGTCTTGCAAGGATTTACCCATTGCAATATCTTTTAAGCGAGCTTTTAAGGTAATAAATATATAATAAATCTTTTTTTTTTATTGGACTTGCATAGAAAAGGGTACATGCATTTTATTTTATAATTTAGTTAAATTTTTTTTTTATTTAAAAAAATAAATAAAGATAGCTATTTTATAGAGTTTATTTTTCTGAAAATTTAAACCTTTTTAACATTTGATTTTCATTAATCTTATGATTTTAATAATTTTTTTAGTATATAATGGCAAAAAATTGGTTTTTGTCCAAGCAGCGAGTCCCTCTCTACGGCTAATGGGTATACCCACTTCACGGGTCACCCGGTTTAATAATAATTTTGAATTTTGTGATCATCAATGAAAATGATCTGTAATTGGTAGCTCCATGGATTGAAATACCCAACTTCATCAATATTTGGAGTTAGACTTCTGAATTTCTCTAATTTTAAAACAGCTAGCAAGTAACCACACAAGGTTGATTCTGATTACTGATAAATGCAATATTGTGCATAATTTAGGGCATAGAAATAAAAAATTGAGTTTCATTAGCTGCTTTCTAAATAGATGGCCTAAGCTATTAAGCAAATAACAAAGATGAAAACGCTAAAAATGAACAGCATATTATTGTATTTATATAATATTTATTTATTATTAAAATAATATTTATATACATTTTTTATTTAAACAAAATACTTTACTAGGAGTTACCAATTGGCGACCTGCAAACTAATTTTATCTGGCCCGAAAACAAGAAAAAAAAGTAAAAATCATTAATATCTAGTTCTAGTGTTGTAATTTCTCATTACGTTTATTTGCTTTTATTAACGTTCACAATGTTGATCACCTATGAACAATTTCCAGATTTTTAATATGGGCATGTGGCACTTCAAAAATACTAATCGGCGACCACTGATTTATACTAATAGTAATATAGTAATACATAGCATAATAAGTAAATTATATAAATATGATAAAAATCAAAATTTAAAAATACATGGGGACATGATAGTTGACTGAGAAGCCAAACACCTATTGACAACATATATTTGAAGTATATTGTTATAGTTTTTATTTTTTCAAGTGAAAAAAAAATGTATTTTGTTGAAGCGTCTCTAGGTCAGTTGTTTTTTAGTCTTCTAGTATGATTCTAGTATCTTCTACCATATTATTAATACGGGTAGTATCTGTCATAGACTAATTGCCTAATGCTTCAAGTTAGCAAATGTTTGATGGTTTTGATGCTAAGTTTGAACTTGAGGATTTGGCGGATGAAAAATTATTTCATTTATTAAAATGTATTTACTTCATGCATAAAAGTTGTTTTACCTTTGGTTTGATTCTTATTAAAATTATATATTATCAGTTTGTATAAGTACCTTTAAGTACAGTCATATAGCACGTTTTTATATATAAAAAAAATACTTCATTATCAAATATATTTTATTATAATTATCTCTATCATAATAAAATATTTAATTTTGGAAATTTTAAATTTTGATTTACCTATAATTTATATTCTTTATTATATCATATTAATTAAGTTCATTAAATACAATGTCTAAGATATATATATATATATATATATGTATATAATATACAGAGTGTCCCGTGAGGATTTACCCATTGCAATATTCTCCCTAAATAATGGTGATATCGAAATCCTGATTTTTTTATAAGACTCACAGAGATAAGGATTACAATTATTTCATATTTTAATTGATTTTAATGTTTTGGTAAAAAAGTTAAAAAATATATTTTTTTATTTAATTGTTTCCAAAAAAAAATAAAGATAGCCATTTTGTAGAGTTTATTTTTCTGAAGATATTGACGTTTCAAAATTTTATTTTCATTAATTTCCTGATTTTTAATATTTTTTTTAGTTTCGAGAAAAATTG